CTTTATGGAAACGAATTGTTTTCATACACTAAAAATACCATCTGATTTGGGGAGGGAGGGGCACGCTATATAGGAAAGCACATAATTCTTATATATACTTTTATTTCCTGTTAATGTTCGAACACTGGATTGATCATCAAAAGCATGTAACTTTATTGTAAGATAGTCAAGTCTAAACGGTGAAGCAAGAAGAGAACCTGAATAAATTCAGGAGGTTAGATGAAGGAAGTGAAGAAGAAGATGCTATGGAAAATACAGATGAATTACAATGAGAATCTGGACCACAAATGGCTGGCTCCTATTGAGAAATGTTTTATTTCTTTAAGAAGTGCTCCTTAAGGCTACTTCAGAGGGAGAAGTAAAAAGCCTAAACAAGCTTGCTGACAGAAAACAAAATACCAAATCAAATCTTTAGAAAAGTGTTTCAGAATTTTAAACTGCAGTATACACCAAGGCTTCTTCAGAATCAATATCTACCCAGGCATATCCCGAGGACACAATGAGTTTGCAATACCGTGTCAATGCAATACAGAAAATATTTTCTTCTAACAATCTAAAAGATGGCTTTACACAAAGACATCATTGGATGGACAACATTAAAAAGACTATGTACTCTGCAAGCAACCACAAGATTTGGTACTGGTTGCAATTCAGAAGACCAGTTCCTTCCTGAAAAAAATTACAGGTTCAGTTAAAGAATCAAATAGTCAGTCCAACAAGATATGGTTTAACCAATATCCCATATGATTATTTAACAAAGATAAATAATAGATGTTATGAATTACAGATGAAAAATAGAATCTTGAACAAGTCTGGACTGTAACTCATGTACTGTATACATATAAAACATCTTTGGTTGGATGGACAATATTAGGATCTAAATATACTAAATCTCTGTTATCCCTGGAAACTATTATGTCAATTAGAAAGTTATGGAATGTAACATCTAATTTAAAAACATGACTCTTTTTCCATTTTAAAATTGATTTTAATGGGAAAACTGAACTTTTAAAATTGGAAGAAAAATGGTGATATAGAAAAATTAGAAGAAATGGGGATATTGACTTTGACTCAAAGGATAGATGAAGATGAATTTTTAACATATGCTGTATTAAGAGATTTATTTATTTATTTATTTTATGAGACTTATATACCGCTTTAAGTGCAAGCACTCTCTAAGCGGTGTACACCAGTAAGCAATGTATATATATACTTACATTGCCCCCAACAATCTGGGTCCTCATTTTACCTACCTCGGAAGGATGGAAGGCTGAGTCAACCTTGAGCAGGTGAGATTTGAAATATCATCCATTAAATATTTACCCAATGCCAATATTTACAATTACAAATTTGTTAACAACATTGTTTGGACCAGCAGCACTTTCAGCTTGAGACGCCTGAGATACTAGAATAACTTGTTAAATCCTTTAAAACTAAAAAAGCTACTGTTAGTTTTTATAAATATTTGTTATCAATACATAAATTTGATACAGTATGCAGATGTTAGGAAATGAGTGGAATAAAGAACTAGAGGTTCCTATATTGTCTAGGCAATGGGAGAGTATCTGAAACTCTATAGCAAAAGTGTCAACGAATTTCAAATTACAACTTATACAACAAGTAATAATTAGAATTTATTGGACTTCATTACATGTGTACAGGTAAGGACTGTCAAAAACATTGCTTCATTGGAGATGTAAGAAGGATAATGCTTTAAAATATGTTTTTAGAATGTCTCATACCTACCAAGTTTGGGGAAAAAGTAATGAATTATATAAATATGATTGTGCAACAAAAGCTAAATTTAAAAGGATAATATTCTTTTGAACTATATACCTAGTGCATGGAATTTGACAACCTGACAACATAAATGGGTTCTCCGTGCCCTTATTGTAGCTAAATGACTGATATTGCAACATTGGAAAGATGTATGACTCCATTTATTCAGTGGATTGAAGACCTGATTGAACTTGCCACTTATGAGTGGATTGGCTATAAGCGTAGACTTTGTATGGACCTTTTATGTGTTGTTTTGTATCTTTTCTTTGACAATGTATGTTTCTCTATCATTATTATCTTGTGTTTTGCTTATTTCATTTTTATTATTAACTAAAGATCAGTAGAATATAAAAATAAAAAAAATCATAGTCAAAAAAAGATAGAAAGCAAAAAACAAAACGGATGAAAAATTGTCCAGCTAATGAGTTCCAGAGAAGGGCAGAACAGCAAATAAAGAGAAAGAATTATATTTAAATAAGCAGCGCAAAACAAAAATGAAAATAACAATCAAATGCTAAGGGATATGGAGCAAGTAAATAGTTCAAAATTGGGAAAGGAATTTGTTCAGATTGTGTATTGTGCCTTCACTAAGTTAACTTAAAAAACAATATTAACACACACACATTCCTATATTAATAAATAATGCCAACCCAATGCAAATCAATTAAATTTGAAGTAGACTTTCTCTCCTTAAGGTCAAACATTTTTAAAGATAATGACTATTCATGAAATTACTGGAAACTGAAGGACTCCAATCTGAGGAAAGACTACTGAAGGTTTCATAATTACAACAGGAAGAATTATTTACAGAAAATATATAAATAGGCAAAGCTAGCTAGCTATATCTCATGAGAAAGAAAATTTGTATGCTTTTTTCTGGGGAAAAAAGGCAAAAGGAAGTGAACTCAGGAAAGCTGATCCCCCAAATTTTCATATATTTTGGACTTCCTATGAAGAAACTGGAAACTGTACCATTAAAAGTGGAGCCGACAACTGAAGCAACATGAAGAGCTGCTAAATAAACCAGATCTTTGTATTTCTTCTCCAGTGAAGAAGAGGACTCAAGTGCTCCAGACTGTTGCTCCTTGTGAGGAGACTGCAAGACAACAGTCTCCAGTAAAGCTCTGGGAGATGAGCAAATAGCCAACTTGTTCAACCACACTCAGCGCTTTCAAAAAGACACTGGTTCAAACACCTCCTTTTTCTAATCACTTTTGGAAATTGCTTGTTAACTTCTTTCCAGATGGGTGAAGATGCAACCCTGGAATGTGCCTAGTGAGCTCAGCAGTGTGGTGGAGCCTCCCTCATCTACTGAAGGGAGCTTGTTGGGGAGGAGGATGGTGAGGCATGGGGCCTGGACTTGATGGCTGTATGGGAGGTCTATTTGGGGTAGTGGCAAAGCTGGAGGAAGTGGAGGGATTTCCAACATGAGCTGCAGAATGTGCAGCTTAGTTTTGATTGAGAAAAGTCAAATAATCATAATGCTTAGAACAGAGGTCCCAACCTTTTGGGCACCAGGCACCGGTTCCATGGAGAAAGACTTTTCCACGGACTGGAGAGTGAGTGATTTTGTGTGCTGCCTGCACCCCATGGATGGGGCTTTGCTTGTTTGTGTGGACCAGTTGCTGGCATGCCACAGTCCATGGCCCGGGGGGTTGGGGACCCCTAGCTTAGAAGACTGACAGCCTAAACTATAACTAATATTGATGAAATATCTACTTTTTCCTTCTTTTGACATCCAACCATCTCAGATGTCAAAATAATAGAATGTTAAGAATTTAACTATATTGTATGTAATATAATATATCAATGGAGGTTTTTAAGAAGACACTAGACAGTCACTTGTCTGAAATGGTATAAGTTCTCCTGCTTGACCAGGGGGCTAGACTAAAAGACCTCCAGGGTCCCTTCCAGCTCTATTCTATTCTAAATCATTAAAATTACATAATTATATGAAAACTTATAATAACATAATCAAAATGAAAAACATAGATAAAGTATTTAGCTGTTTCTCAACATATATAACACTACCACTTTAACAATGCTTCCCAATTGTAGCCATTTTCAGATGTCTGGACTTCAACTCCCAAAATACCCCAGCCAGCAATAGGATATTGCTGGGAGTTGAACTCCACACTTCTGAAAAGGGCTGAGGATGGGAAATGCTACCACTACACCGTCTTCCTTGCTATGTTGCTTTATTGAAACAGCTCAATATGAAGAACTGCCTCACGATAGTCATTAAATTTTAGGATTTAATTTGAAAATCTGCATGCTAGTTCAGAGATAGCAGAACAGTGAAGGACAGGATTCTTGATCCATTCCTCAGCCACATTATAATTAAATTAGCAATGTGAGCCCCGCAGCTCAGTCATAAGAAATGCTGCCCCCAAGATTTTCTTCTCTGGAATATATTCCAAAAATATTTCCTTTTGAACTGACATGAAAGGGCTAAAAATTGCAGATAAAAACTCTTGACACAGAACTTTCAGTAAACATACTAAATTTTCAAAATTTTAAACACAAATACTGAATGTGTTGTCTTAAGCTAGATACATACAAAGATAGGAGCTAATTTTTGTGGCAGTCATCACCACGGAGGAAATACACATGAAGTTTGTAGAAAAAAAAGCACCTTCTCATGGACTAGAAAAAGATTGTTATCTTTCTAATGTATATTTACTTACTTATATATATGTATCCTAATGTGATGACCCACATGATGGCCCCGAATGGAGGCAAAGCAGTCGGCTGGCAAGAGCAACAGTCTCTTAATCACTGCCAATGTTCACCCAAAAGCTCCTACATATGCTGGCACGATTTCAAACAATACAGTATACACTGTTCTCAAGGCAAGAGAGATAACAAGAAAACGTAAAGAGTCCTTTTAACTCTCAGCTTGCCTGCAAACTGCAAACTACAGACTGCAAGGAGAGATCAGGAATGTAGTCTGTGGTTGTGCAGCAGGAAACAAACTGGTTCGGAATACAAAGTGTTCAGGTTACAAGAGCACAAGTCACAACAATCTCAAAATCCCATGTTTTTCCCGGCAAATGGCCCATCCCACAGCGTCTCCTTAAATCCTAATCCCCAGGTGTGCCTTGTGGAGTGGAGCGGGAGGCTCTCCTCCTGAGCAAATGAGCTTGCCTCCGTTGTTCTCTCCTCCTCTCTGCTCTCCTTGCTCTTGGCTCAGGTGGGGGGGGGCTTGTTCCTCGCCTGAACTCTGCCTTCCCTGTTCCAAACCTGAAGGGCCCTGGCCTGCCTCAGCCTGCTCCTCCCTACTATCCTCTGAAGCTACAGATATCCCTCCTGGGCCTCAACAGAGAACTCCATGTCTTCCTCGGAATAAGGCTCGGATGGAGGTATGATACCTACCTTTATTATTTTTACAAATAATTGAAGGTAGCAAACATATCCAACATATCCTCCTTTTCCTTTTTTCCCCACAACAACAATCCTGTGAAATGAGTTGGGCTGAGAGTGGCTGACCCAAGGTCACCCAGTTGGCTTTCATGGCCTAAGTGGGACCAGTACTCACAGTCTTCTACTTTCTAGCCTGGTATCTTAACCACTGGACCAAACTGGGATATATGAATATATAAAGATGCAGTAACCCTACTGTGAATCTTCCCCCCCCTCTCTCCCAAATTTTACCGTTCTATTAAAACCAAGATGAAAAGCTGGGAGCCCCAATGCCTTGTTCCTTTTGTGCCCAGCAGTACTGTATTTATTCGGCTGACTGGAACAACAGGTCCTTTCATTGCTCTGTTTCACCAAACCTCTGATTCTGATGATGAAAGGACAGTAGGAGAAAGCAGTAAAATGTGTAGAGTATGTACTGAATGTGCTGCTTCTCCTCCTTCCTGTCACGGCAAGGAAGCATAGGGAGGCAAGGAGTGCACCTGCCTGTCACTTTTTCCTCAAGTGCTTTTCAAGAAGGACGCATACATAATATCTTCCCGCATCCATGGTTTCCGAGAAAGTTATAGAATGGTTTTTAATCACCTGGTTTTGATATCTGACTGCCTTTGGCAGCATGAGCTTTTCCTATCGTACTGTCTCCCTGAATGTCACCTTTTCCCATCAGCTTTAGGATTAGGATAAGAAAAATTGGTGTTTTGTGCTGCTGCAGATCCGACAAAACCACCTCCTGCTCACAGCTCTCCAAACAAACGCCTTGCCTTAAACGGCCCCCTCCCTGTTACCACCTGGATTAGATCAAGTAGCTGATTATAAATGTTAGGCAGTTATTTGGGGCAGACAACATCTGCATATCCTGAAGATGGGGAAGACTGTTTGCTGAGATCTATTTCTGATAGCAAAAAAGACAAGCCAGAAGCTTTCTGGTAAACAAAGAGAAGCTTTGACAAGCTCTTCTCTGCTGAGTACAAACTGCCTCATAAGCCAGAAACCCATATGGTGAACTATTTGCACGAAGAATGGGTTCTGAATTTAGATTTTTTTCCCCCCTAAGCATCTCAAGACTGTCATAACTGGTTGACATGGTCACTTCAGGAGACAATGGAAGAAACAGCAGTGCCAACATTTTTATCTTTCATTTATTTTTTTGGATCCAAGTTCTGGAGGTGTATTTTAAAAGGAAAGTATTCTGAGGAAAACAAACATGAAAACAGAAGCATTATATTTATCTTACTATAAGTAACAGTACAACATTGCAGCTACTTTAAAATTACTAAATCATAAAATAATCACCATCCAAAATACAGTCTTGAAAATAGTCATGTTCAATGTATGCATGAATTGAAAATAAGATCCATGATAGGTGTTCCAGAAACCCATTACACTGGATCACTTAAGAGGTTCCAAGTACATGCTTCTTCTCCAAGTTATTTGTTCTGGATTTCCCATGGAAATAAATGCATTAGGGATCTCTGAACATCCTAGAGGGAACAACTTATAGACAGATTCAGCAGATCCTTACACTATCATTCAATTTGGCATAGTTATCATCTACCCACTGCCAGTTTCTTTTAGTAACGAATGAGGTCAAATTCCCATCCTAATTGTTCAGGTCGCCAAAATTTGCCTAAATGGATTATGGAGAAATTTCTTGTAGATTTGATAGAAGCATGCTTTCAAAGGATGACATTCTTTTTCTTCAAAAGAAATAAAAAGCAAACCTATTTATTGGTTCCAGTTTGTAATCTCAATCTCCATTAGAATCTGTGGAACTACTAAAGTTGTGTTTTTATTATGTAATTGTAGGTGCTACAGATGGTAAAATAATTGTCACAATATCATAGCATGATGCAGCTAGTCACATTTGGTCATATGCAACAAAGGTTTCTGATTTGGTGGGGGGGGAGTAGTAGTTGTATTGTCTTTTTTTTTTCTTTATCTGTGTTTATTAAAGCAAACAAAAGCCAGTGCATTATTCTCACTCTGAATGCATGCAAATTAAACAATTTGGATTGCTTAGCATCTGTAAGAGCTCCTTGGAGATCCATGCCTGCCTCACAATTGTAATACAGCTTGAAGAGAGAAGTTAACAAAAGCTTAGATCAGTCTGCTTTAGAAAGCACAATCAGATACCCAACAGCATCCATGGTGCAACTTAATAATTTGTTTTATTTACTGGAAGAAGAACCATCTGTAAATAAGATGTGTTCACTGCTTACTATAACCTGTTAGTAAACATGTTACCTTGCCAGGCATCTCCATTTTGCTGATCCCTCCAAGGGCATCCTTTATATATCATCTGCAGCTTCTCTTCTAACTAAATCACAAGGCACTGCTAATATCTATGGTCTACTGTTCACTTGCTACATGACAGCTGGGCAGGTTGACAGGAGTGAGAAAGGAGCTTTCTCGGTCTAAAATATCCAAATTTGACAAGAGCTAGCCAGCTGATGAGGGAAGGACCAGAAAGGGTATTTTAAAAAAAGAATCAAAGCAGTAGTGCTATAGTCAAATATCTACAGGTGTCACATTTATTTGTTAAATGTTATATATTTATTAAAGTTTAATGTTTCATCTCTCTGATAAAGTGACTCTGAGAGGCTTACAATATAAAGACAATACAAAATGATCACAATTAAAAGGATTAAATGGAAAACTAAAAACCAAGAGGAAGGGCAACATGAGAGTGGGATCTTCTCTTTACCTCTTAGCCACCCGAAAGAAATGTGCTCCTATTGGGACTCTAGGCCAGCTAGCAGAGCAAGTTCTTCCAGAAGACCAAGAGTGTGTGCACGGGGATTACAGCAGAAAAACCTCTTCTTCTGCATTCCACAAGCTGAAACTCTTTGGCAGACAGGATCTGAAGTAGGCCTATGCCGTTGGAGTGAATGGGGCAGGCTACTCCCACTGGGGTTGGATGACTTCTCAGATACTCTGGACCCATGCCATAAAGGGCTTTAAGACCAATGACTAACACCTTGAATTGGACCTGGAAGCAAACTGATAACCAGTGGAGCACATGTAACAGTAGTGCTACATGTGGAAACCCAAGGAGTCTCCAGAACTGCCTGTACTGCTGTGTTCTATGCCAGTTGTATCCTTCCAAATACTATTCAAGGACAGCTCCATGTAAGAGAACATTGCAGTAATCTAACAGAGAGATGATCAGGACATGAGTGACTGTGTGCACAGCCTCACGATCCAGGAAAGGGTGCAAATGGCACGCAACATGATATTAAAATGTTCATTAAAATGGTACTGCTTCTGAAATTATTATTTTATAAAATGGATTATTAAAAGGATCAGATGCTTTTTTTTTGAGAATCCAATTAATTTTCCAAGTACCAAAATAAAAACACCTCATATTCTTTTGGAATGGTAAAACATATGGGATGACCTCCATTTCTGGGCCATAGCTGTCCATCTTGGTGATATAGGAAAAGTGGGTCTTTCCTTTCCTTTCCTTTCCTTTCCTTTCCTTTCCTTTCCTTTCCTTTCCTCCTTCCCCTCCCCCCTCTCTCCCCTCTCATTAATTAGCATTCTTTATAATAGCATTATCATTAAAATATAATTAAGGGCTTCCATCACTTTTAATAGCTGGCAAGGGTTTGTTTAGGAATAGTAGAACAGAAATTGGTCCCTAACTAACTTCCCTGATGCAAAATGGTTTCCAAACTCTATTCAATTCAAGACATGTATGGGTGAAAGACTTTATCTCTGCATTAGACAGGAAAGGTACTGGAAGGTTTAAAAACAAAGAATGGAAAAGGAAAACATTAAGTGTCTCCACCATGTCCGTCTCTCCCCAAACAGCTTGCTTAAAAATAATCTATACTCATCTCCTAAGAAAAAGGACAGTTTCAGAAAGCAACAGTGTCTGATACATATAAAGACATAAGGGAGAATTATGGTACTTGCACTACGTGACAAGGTAGTGATTTGTCAGGAGGCATAATATGAATGTCTTTGAGGGTGACACCCTCATAGTCTAGTATGATATCACATCACATCATACAGGCAACTGGTCCAAAGAAGCTGGACTCTCCTGAGAAATTAAAGCTATAAAAGCCTTTATCTCTGGAATCTAGCAAAATTATTTTACTAGCTACAGGGAGGAGAGATGACAAATTAAAAAGAGGATTCATTCTTGGGAGGGCTATCTCTCTAAAAACTGCATCATTGTAGCCAGTTAAGTGGACACGTTATTTCTGACAGTTTATGAGCCTTGTTAATATAATGTACTATCTGGGAAAGTGCCAGCTAGCAAGATCCAGGGAAGTCAAAATTAGACCCCAGTGTCTTAGGAATCAGAGACCCATTTAATATCAAGTGTTTCAGCTGAGACTGTCTCTTCTGCTGCCAAATCAGCAATATTCAACCTGGAGCTCTTGGGCTTTGTATATCTCACAATAGACCTGAATGCACAATTATTTGTAACACTAAATTGCCCTGGGGGGGGGGGGAAGCATGGAAATAACAGGAAGCTGTCTTATGCCAATTCAGACCATTGGTCCATTTTGCTAAATGACTGGCAATTGCTTTCCTATGTCAGGAAAGAAATCCTACATAGCTAAGCATGTTGGTTCTTTTGAGCTGTGGTTCAAAAGTATACACTGTACATTTCATAACTCAGTTGAAAAATCTTGATTAGAAATGGCAATGATAAAAGGGGAAACAATGCTTTGAATACTTTTTTTAGACTTTTTTTTCAAGTTTGGGAAGAAGAAGATCACATAAACTCCTGCTGCATCTGAAGAATGAAGAAGAAAGTAGAATTTTTAATTATTATGCTAAATACTTCTTCTGGAATACATTCATTTTATTTAACTCCACACAAATCTGTGAAGTAGCTGTACAATTGTAACAAAAACAAATAAGTTTCTGGAGTACCTTAAATATTTCCCAAATTTATTGTGGCATGAACTTTTACCTGCTGAAGCCT